AGAGGAGATCACTGAGACGGGAGGATGACTGGGTGGCCAAGAGAGGGGCAATGGCTTGTGTACAGGTGCAGAAGCCTAAGAGATTCCTTAGGGAAATGGGGGACAATTCAGGGTGCTTCAAATGCAGGGTGAAGGAGAGGAAGGTGGAGGAAGAACAGGCTTTTGAAGTCAGCAGGTGAAAGGTCATGCAGGGCCTTGGGGGACTTTTTAAGGAGTTTATGATACTGAGAGCAGGGGGAGACTTTTGAATAGCTGACATAGTCAATTGTACACTTTGGGGAGATCACTTCGGTTTCTTTGGGGCAGAGAGCAAGCCTGAAAGCAGGAGGTGGACTAACCTGGGTTAGGGATGATGAGGGCCTAAGGAGATGGTAACCCAGGGCCTATGCACTCCAAGATAGGCAGGAGACAGGACTCCCCATCCCCCCAGTGTGGCTTCAGCTGGGAATAGCAGCCCCAAGTTCTCAGACTTCTGAGTCACCTCCTTAGGTTCATGGTTGCCCTGAGGCCAGGTCAGCCTCTTTCCTCCATCCTAATTGCTTCCTGCCAAGGAAGCTGGCCCCCTCCCAGCGTCCTTGAGAAAGCCCTTGTAAAAGTAATTGAGCGTTTCAGGAGGAAGCAGGCACCGGCAGCTGCCACTGCCCCCAACCCCAGGCAGGGAACAGTGCATCTCTGACTACTGAGGGTCTTCTGAGAGGAACATTTTCCACCAACTCCCATCCCCAACCCCTCCTATATCTGGGTCAGTGTAGGGGACCTCAGGGCTCTGGGCTGGGCTCCTACGAATGGTGTAACACACAGGTTACGCACTACACGATCTGAGCAGCAGGGCTCAGGGCTCCGCTTGTCAAGCTGTGCATCCTGGCTGTGTTTGTTCAGAAGTAGGGGTATATTTTTCTAATTAGCCCAAAGGTACCATTCATTGGTCTGGCTGCATACTTACGAAAATGATTCCACTCAGAGGGGGCCCCTTTTCCTAGTTAGTACACAGTGTACCACATGGACCATTGTAATCCTGGCTCACGACCTTTGTCCCCAACTGCCCACTATCTAGTCATTTGTGCTTTTATGATGCCTTCCCCTGGACAGAGGGAGAAGCTAAGCCTGACCATCTGCTGCCACTAACTCCCTTCCGGGCAAACTGGTCTGCCCACAGACCCATATATCAGCATCTGGTCTAGCCATAGATCACTGCACCAAGGGGTCCCACCAAAAGCTAAGCTGAACTAATCAGATTCTCTTGCATGAGAACTGGAACTAAGAGACACGGAGGGGCTTTGTCATTGCAGGTGAGTCTTTTTTTTTAATCCTCACCCGAGGACATATTTCTATTTATCTTCAGATAGAGTGTGAGGGAGAGAGAGAGAAACATCGATGTGAGAGAGACACATCAATTGGTTGCCTTCTGCATGACCCCGACCAGGGCCAGGGACTGAACTGCAACTGAGGTACGTTCCCCTGACTGGAATCAAACTTGTGACTCTGGTCTTCGGGCTGATGCTCTAACCACTGAGCCAAACCAGCCAGGGCTGCTGGTGAGTCTTGAGACAGAGTTAGGATGCAGCCACTTTGTGCCGGGAAACCACAGAAGACCGGAGCAAAACCAAGGAAAAGAGCACAGGTGTAAATATTGCCCAGTGGATGAGTCTGTGAAGCCCAGAGAAAAGAGAGGCTCATTCTTAGTTCTAGTTCACGTAAGACCCAGTCGTTGATTTTGCATCTTTAGGGTCCCTTATAATCTGCTCACCCCTTTCTCTGAACTATCGAGTGGGTCTCTGTTCCATGGAACCAAAGTCCTTGCTAGAACAAGGACCTCAGTCCCAAGGAGGTGCTGAGGTCCCCCCACTGAGTGAGCCCCATCTCTCCCCTCACCCAAGCCCTACCCCTGCTTAGAGAAGAGCAGGGATCCTCATCACAGTCACACCTTTTATTCACTGTCAGTGAAAAAAACACACCACACAGCACAGGGCTGAACAGTGAGGACAGTCACTGTGGGCACATCCAGGAGCAGCACAGCTGTAGGGGACAGGGGTCACAGTAGTGAATGAGTTGGGAGGCCCCCCTGTGCCACCCATCTCCCCACCCCCACCCCAGGCCTCAACACTTCCAGAGCCTCCACAAAGCAGGAAGGGTCAGACACCCTGGGAGGCCTGGTCCTGCCCCCACATTCTGGCAAAGGTAAAAGAAAACCCTGAAAATTTCAGGAAAAAAAAATCCCATGTTTTTCTGAGGCTTTTCAATTGCAATATTTGAATTTTTTTTTTCAAGACTGATGAATAAAACACGTAGGAAATATATTCTTGCCCCCACAGTGATCTCTAAAGTCAGCACAAAGCCTCACCCAGGGTGGATATTCAGGAAGTATTTGTTGCTTTAGTACATTTTTGTGTAAAAATATTTACAGTGTCAGCTTACTACCTTGCCTAGAAACCCCAGCTTATTCTCTTTCTTTCCCCTCTCCTCCTCCTCCTCCTCCTCCTCCTCTTCTTCTTCCTCTCTCTCTCTCTCTCTCTCTCTCTCTCTCTCTGTAGCAGAATGAATATCTACCTCTAGAGACTCTGCCATTGTCAGGAAAAGATAAAGTGCCTTTGCTTATGGGCTTACTTTTTCTTAATTTTTTATCTAAGGTAAGTTATGTAATCCTGACTACAGCTCAAAGGGCTGAAGTGGTCATCTGAAGTAGCCCTTGCTGATGCTTTTTAGAGATAAGAGGGAGCTCATCAATTAGACCAAAGGTTGAATGAGGACAGAATACATTTAGAAGACAGATCTGGAATCTTGCAATTCAGAGTTGCTGCAAGAAGATACAGAACTTCAAAGGAGACTTTGCACATATCAATGTTTCAACTGTGTATTTTTGAATCTATGTGAGTCATACTTTGATCTCTGCTAACCTTGTGCTCTGTGACAAGTCCCTCTCAGGGGGACAGAGATGGGAGGACTGCCTCTCTTCTCACAGTAGGGCCAGTGCTCTACCACAGGAGCTCCCAAGCACTGTCCTTGGGACATCAGGAGCATGCGGGAGCAAGGCCTGGTCCACCTGTGGCTCCTCTCATTGGCAAGATGGTGGTCCTGGTCCCTGGCCTGGCATTATGTATTCAATAGTATTGGGCTGTATGAAAATTTTTGACCTGACCAGCAAATATCAGCCAGGGGTACGTGTCCAAAAGCTTGGAGTGATCAAACATGCTCTCATAGGTAGGACTTGCCTATCAGCTGGGAAAAAACCACAGTTCTCTTAGGGAGGAAGATGATGGTGAAGACAGTGCAAGATGCTTCCAGGTTTCTGAGCCAGAGGCCTCCTAGGACGGAACTGACTTGTAGCAGAGCTGCCCAGAAACAGAAAACAAGATGCTTGAAAATGTGGGCACTTCAACCAAATTCCTATTTCTTTTTGGAAGACCACAGCCTCAGAAACTTCTTAGCAGGAAGCTTGTGAAAGACCAAAACCAACTTAGCTTGCCCCACAGTCAACCTCTGTACAACTCACAGTCAAATAAATGAGCAGGGGAGAGACTCTTAAGAGAAGAAACCTGCTTAGAACCTTGGATTCAAGTCTTGGCACTGTGCCACCTCCTGACTGTGCTTTTGCACAAGAGACTCCTGTTCTCTGTGCCTCAGTCTCCAAGTCCGGAGAAAGAAAAGGAAAATCCTCACTTCCTTAGGTGGTGAGTGTAGAATGAGATGAGGCAGATGGCAAGCCTTTGAAAGCCATGAAGTTCTGGGTGATTGGGAGTTGGGTTAGATTCAATGTTTGGGGAATAGGAACCCCACTTTGTAAAAAGCCTTCCATTGGAAGTGTCAGCTGAGCCAGGCTATTGAGTATCTGTATCTGTGGTGCTGACTGACAGCACAAGACACACCTAATGGCCAGCTCCTGAGAGCAATGGAGCATCCTTTGAGGCGTTACTGGATAAAAGCCTATTGGTTACTGCCTGAGGATGTGAATTCCCCAGCCTTACCACATGGCTGGTCATAGGCAGCATAGAAAGAGGGTGGCAACCCAGTGTCTTTGCTACCTCCAAGAGCAGCAAGAAGGAAGGTCCAGAGGAGTTTGGGACCCAAGGTCCGCATCCCCAAGAGCTTCCACCTGCAGAGAGGGAGGACAGGTGAACACTCAGAAGTAAAATACATACCACATTGCTTTCCTGCTGATACAATCCGCACCCCCCAACTCAGCAACCATTCCCTGTTCCCACCCTGGGCTGACAGCACCTGTGTACTAGACTGTTTTCACCAAGGGTTCAAGAGGAAATCAACTGCCACTGCACATCAAAACTAATTTCTGATCACAAGTAGCGGAGAAAGTAAAGTGAACGACTTGAAGAAGCAAGGTGAACGTTCTAGCAGTCAAAGCATGCAGCTGTATAGCTCATGGATCCAATATCAGAAAGCAGACATAAGAAAGCAAAGCCAGTGCACTTAGAAGATGATGAATTACCTGCCAGATTTAGGATTTGGGGTTAGGGAAGGCTTTTCAAATGGAGCATGCCCAGCACATTTGTAGGCATTTGGTCCATAAATACAGGCTGGCAGCCTAAACAGTGGCCAGGTGGTCCTCTTCTTCTAGCTCGTTCTGCTTCTGGAGCAGTGAGAGAACAAGTCCGTCCTTGAGACTGGAGCAAATCCAGAAAGGAACTACCGCGATGTGGGAAGTACATGGCCTCACTCCCAGCAAACCTTGTTTTTGTGTTTCCGAGGATAGCACCTAACCAGCAAAAGTATACAACAGAGTTGCTCACTGAATTGAAAAACATCAGCAAAAAGGAAGCAGCAGAAACTGCAGATGGTGTCAGCTCAGGATTTAGCCTGATAAGAAAAAGTGTTTTCTGGTGAGTTTGGTAGTATTTTCCCTTTTTTCTCATGAAAATTAACATTTCTATATTTATTTGATCAATTTACAAGAAATCGAATAATATAAAGTATGTTTTAATACCCTAAACTAATAAAATGACTTTAGCTCCTTTTAAGGGTACTAAAAAAATAAGTATTACATAAATTTAAATTTTTCTCAAAACTCCCACTCACAGGGTTCCTAGACTTCCAAACACTTCTCATTTATCCTTCTGCAGTTCTGCGTAGAACTGAGTGGAAAGAGTTAATAGCTTCTCTCAAACTAACCAGCCTTACTGCACCCTCCGCTCAGCTCTGCTCGACGTCCCCATCTGAGACTGACCGCTGGGAGTCTGCCTCGCCACTCTATGAGCTTCCAGAGGGCACGGAATGTGTCTTGCAGACTACCATATTCTTAGCACCTAGAGGTGCCCGACATCGAACAGCTGCTCAATAAATGTTAGCTGAAGAAAGGACTGAATGAACGCTCCAAAGACAGGGGCCAGAGGGGCCAGGGAGAGTCGAGGGTCAGGGCAGAGACCACTTTTAAGGGATCTGGGTCCTCAACAAAGGACAGACCCAATTTGGCCCTTTAACTGGGGTATGTGGGACCACATCCTATATAGTATAATCCCAAGAACAGACTTCCAAAGCAGAACCCCAACCTCCTTCCTTAACCCTGCTTGTAGGGGCAAAAGCCAACTCCCCTATGCCCAGTGAATGTTAAGTGTGGGCCAAGACTGGGGGTGGCACGAGACCACAGGATACCTGAGGATCTTTTTTCCAGGGTGAGGTGGTCCCTCAAAGATCTTGATTGAGGAAAGCAAGGGCTTGGGCACTGGGGTGAGTAGGCCAGAGAGTGAGGCTAGAGTACCCCCTTCCAGGGAGGTGAGGGCCAGCCAGAGAGATCATGGGATTGGGAGGTGGCCACGCTCCTCCTGGCCAGGGGCCCTGCCCCTCACCAGCCTTTGCTCTCTACTTCTGCATGTCACACTGCAGCAGTAGCACAATGGATGGGTCACTCTTGGCCGCCTCCTTGAACTCCTCCAGAGTAATCTGGTCATCCTTATCCTGGTCCATCTTCTTGAAGATCTTGTCCACACGCTGCTGGGGCGTGAGCCCATCCTGGTTCATGCGCATCATGATCACGGTGCCCACCATCTTGTAGATAGCCTGGTGAGGCACAGGGGGCAGGGAGGATTGGGGGTGAATGAAAGGGGTCTGCGAGTGGGCAGGGAGAACACTGAGAAACGGTGAGGATGTTGGAAGGTGATGTATGGTCATTAAGACAGGATGTTTAATGAACATCTCACACAAACACGTCTAAAACCCTGCTCTTCTCCAACCGGCTCCTCCCCAGGCATTTCGTCTCAGGAAACAGCAAATTCATTCTTCTAGTTGTTCACACCAAACATTTTGACACCATTCTTGACTCTCCTTCTCTCACACCCACATCCAATCCTTCAGCAGCCCTGATTTTGCCAAAAATCCCATATCCAACCACTTCCACTGACTGTTCCTCGGTGGCTGTCACCTCCATCAGCTCGTGACTGGGCTGCTGTGGAAGTCTCCTAACTAGTCTCCCTGCTTCTGATGGTCTCCCACCCCCCTTAGTCTATTCTCCACCCAGATAAGAGAGGGCGCTTATTAGCTTCCCATCTAACTCATAATAAGTCTCTACCCGAGACTATGAGATGCTAAGTGACTGGGCTCCTGGCTGCCTATCTGACCCCCTTCCTATCACTCTCCTCTGGCTCACTTCTCTCTACCACCCTGGCCTCTTGACCACTCCTTGAACATGGCAAACAGAATCTAACCTCAGGGTCTTTGCATTTACTGTTACCTGTGCATAGAACACTTGTCCCCAGACATCTACGAGGCTAGCTCCCTCACCTTATCCAGGTTGCTGCTCACATTTCACCTCATAAAACGGCTTTCCTTCCATTGCTCCCTCTCCCCTTTCCTTTGCTTATCTTCTTCCCAACACTTACTGTCTGACTTAGCATAGGGTTTTTGTCGTTGTTGTTTTAAAGATTTCCCTCTAGAAAAAAACGTCCCCCGAAAGCAGGAACTCTGAACAGTGCCTGGCCCGTGGCAGGCACGGGATACATACTTGTGGAAAGAATAACTAGCTAAGAGAACTTAGGCCCTGGATCTGAATCATGAACCACCGCTTGCTACGTTTCTGACAGTACCTACCCGGTACTGTCCCATCACCAAGCGCCCAACCCATCTAGTTAGCCACTGACTCCTGGGAGGCGGGATCTGGGCAGGGGTGCGGTGGGAGCAGCAAGGACGCCCCGAGGCCCAGAGGAGCGCGGCTGGAGCGGGCGGCGCCAGCGAAGGGCCTGGCCCCGAAGACCGGGCGCGCCACCCAGCACATGCCGGCCTCTCGGACCCGCCCCAGCGCACCTCGATGATCTCCAGCATCTCCAGGCGTGTGATGCGCCCGTCGCCGTCCAGGTCGTACATCTCAAAGGCCCAGTTGAGTTTCTGCTCGAAGCTGCCTCGGGAAGTGACCGAAAGGGCGCAGATGAACTCCCGGAAGTCGATGGTGCCGTCGCCGTTCTTGTCGAAGGTGCGGAAAGCGTGCTGCGCAAACTTGGAGGCGTCGCCGTAGGGGAAGAACTGAGGCGGGGACGCAGGGCGTTGAGGCGCCGGGACAGCCTGGCCTCCCGTCCGGCCCACCCACTGGGGTTGCCTGGCCCCGCCCCTGGGGTACCTGGCTCCGCCCCGCCCCGCCCATTCGGCCCCGCCCCGCCCGCTTGGCCCGCCCCCTGGGTGTCTGGCCCCGCCCCGCCCGTTCGGCCCGCCCCGGTGGTGCCTGGCTCCGCCCCTAGGGTGCCCCGTCCACACACCCAGACCCGCACACCTTGATGTAGAGCTGCTGGAACTCCTCCAGGTTGAGGATGCCGCTGGGGCAGTCCTTCAGGAAGCCCTTGTACCACTGCTTCAGCTCCTGCTCGCTGAACTCGGTGTTCTGAACCAGGTCCTCCAGCACCTCTGGGGCCAGCTTGCTGTTGGTCTTCCCCATGGCGGGGCCTGGGGGATAGGCGCAAGGCCCTCACCTCAGTCGCGGTCCTCCAAGTCCCGTAGAGCAGGGTTCACTTTCTCTGTAACAGCCCCCACCCTCCTTCCACAGCAGGGCGGGTATCCCTCCTCTCACCAGCACCCTCAACAAGCCCGTCTTCCTACAGCTGGGCTCTACCCTTCACCACATCCCTTCTCATCGGAGCTCCTATCTCCCCAATCCGCCCCTCCCCCCAACACAGGGGCGGTCCCTTCCCCTCATTCCCCTCCCCCATAAAAGGGCCTCCATAGTAGGCCACTCCTCTCTCCTCATGCAGGTTTCCTCCCTTGGCACCCAGGACCTCTTAGCCTTTCAGGTCTCAGCTGTCCTCCTTTTCACTGACTGTGCTGCATGCCACAATCTTCATCCTCTCCTCTCCTGTTTACACCTTCCATAGCTCCCCACACCCACAGAATAGAGTCTTAATTCTCTCCTTGCTGGTCAGAGCTTTCACACTCAGCCCCACCTGCCTCTGCAGGCTTCCCTCCTACCAGGGACCCAAGGCAGGTTCCTCCTGTGTCCTCCCTGGCACCGTCTCCCAAGTTCTTCAAGGCCTTCCAGGCCATCCCAACAGGAAGCTTCTCTCCCTATTTCTTCTGTACAGATAGAAGTCCTAGGTGGTAGCATTGATGACCCTGATTATATTCTGCTCTTCATTAGTTCATTCATTCCCTGAGCATTTGTTGAGGCTGACTATATGCTAGGCTCTGTGCTAGCTAGTCATGGGGATAAAGTAGACACGAGCCAACTTTCAATAACTCATAATTAGGTCAAAGAGATAGGTGACTGATTGTAGAGGGTCTTCAATCCATGCCAAGGAGTTCAGCCTTTACCCGAAGGGGACAGAAGCTCCTGGGACTTTAAAGCAATGGCTAGGAAGATAGCGTTCATTCCACAACCTTTACAGAATGCTTACAATGCGGCAAGTCCTGAACTAGGTGCTGGGGACCCAGGGAGAAGGAATGTGTTTTAGAATTTTTCCTTTGGCTACAGTGTGCAAGATAACCTGGGTGGAGGGAGAGCAGAGGGGCTTGCTGCATGGTTCAGGTGAGAGATGATGGCACTAGGGTAAAGGTTGTGAGAAGATGAGGATGGAGTGGGCATTGGCAGGACTTGGTGACTGAATGGAGGGAGGGTGAGAGGGACGGAGGAATTTAGGCAGATGCTCAGATTTGGCTTTGAGTGGATGGAAGTTGTGTTGCTGAGAAACAAGTTTGGGGCGGATGTTGAGTCAGTCCTCAGCTGGAACATGAGACCCTCAGATAGCCTGTGCCAGAAGTGTTTGCAGATGGGGTACAGTCTTCGGCAGGAAGCTTGGCCAGAGTGATGCTTCACCAGGCCCTGAAGGCTAGGTGGACACTCCTGTCTGAACTCCATGGGAGGCATGTCCCTCCAGAGCTTGAGTTTCCCAGGACATTGCCTGGGAGGTGACTTTGACCTGCCTGGAGTCTTTGGAAGGGCACCAGACTCCAACCCCAGCATAGCCTGTCATGAAAATACTCTGGAAAAGGAAGCCCTCAGGCCAGAAGAAGGAATGCCACTGTTACAGCCCACCCCAGGCAAGTGTGGCTTCTAATCTTTGCTGCTGGGAGTGCCATAAACATGCAGCGATGATCTGTTCCATGCCCCCTCCCTTGCTGCCTGACCTCAGGTTAGATACAGGATATCTCTAGGCCTCAGATTCCCCCCATGGACCATGAGGAAGATCAAAGAGCAGTTGGGGTCACTACATCCCCCCCTACCAAACCACCCTCAGAGGATGAGGAGTCCCATATGTCCCCAGAAGAAGACAGAGAGGGGGGTGCATGCCATCTTCAGGAACCTGGAACTGTGGAGTTCAAAATAGCTGCACGGGGCAAAAGTCCAGGACGTTTCTGGAACACCATGGGCAGGAGGAGGCAGGCTTCAAACCCAGCTGCCCCCTCAAGTCTAAAGCACACTGAAGACTCAGGGTATAGTCTAGGAAGCCAGAGAACCCAGATGTGGGTGTCTGATGGGGGAAGCAGAGCCTCTTCCGCCGTCTCCTATAGAATGTGCCTCTCTGTCTGTGTCAGGTGCAGGGTGTGGGTGGGAGTATGTCAATGTATGAGACTGCAAATCTGTCAGAGCGCACAGTCTCTGTGTGTGTCATGGAGTCTGTGTGGCTCTCACCTTCTGCCCCTTTTCTCTCCCCCAACTCTATGTCTCCTGATGCCATACCTGTTCCTGACCCCCATTTGGTCCCAGGCCCACTAAGGACTATGTCTCCTCCTTCATTTCTCCTTATTCCTTCTACTGCTCTTAGATTAGCAGGCCAAAGCTTGTGGTGCCCTTTAAGATGATCCCCTTATGTTAGTGAAAACCCAGAGAGAGGAGAAAACTAGCTCAGAGTTATGCAGCAGGTCAATGGAAGAACCCAGATAAGCACCTAAGCTGAATCCATGCTTCTGCCTGAACCGCTCCCTCCAAATCATGGCTACTCTTGTCCAGTACAGGCCTTCCCCACTCCTGCCTGCCTTTTGCAAAAACCATCGCTCTGATCTCCCTCTTAGCCTCAGTGGGACCATCTTGCTGAGCTCCAGGTCACGGTGTCTGACACTCCGGAAATATCTACCCCTTGGGGTAGCTCACCAGCATCTCTAACCAAGCACATCTACAACCAGATTTGTCTTCAGCCTGTGGCTGTTCTCTGTCCATCACCTCTTCCTTCTTAGTTACCATCTTAGTTAACTTTAGTTTCCCCCTCTCCCTTCTCCCTAGGTCCAACTTGCCACCAAGTCTTATTATTCCTTCTTTTGAAGTGTTCCTGGAACTTTCACTGTGTCCTCTCTCTCCCCATAGTCCGGCAAGGGGCTCAGCTGAGGGGGCTGAAATCCAGCTCAGGCATTGCTTGGCAAGCTATGTCTGTGGGCTCAACTGCCTCAGAGGAAGTGCCTTTCTTCTAATTTCTCTTTTCAGAGGGAACGTCTTTTCTGATTTTGCCCAGAAGTACAATAGAGACTAGAGATGGCCATGCCTACAGGCCCCCTCAAACTCCAGAATCCCCTAGAATCTGGTGTCAAGGTGCCCACCTGTCTAGCCTCACCTCCCACTGCTCCCCTGATAACTATATACTCCTTTCAAGCCAAGCTTCTCACAGCCAGAACCTACCTCACCTATTGCTTAGCTGTTTTCCTCTCCCCTAATATTCTTCCTTCTCTTCTGGACTCACGCAGTTATAATCAGTCAGCAGGCCTGGCTGAATCTCACTGCCTATGATCAACCTCTCCCCACCAGGAAGTGGACAGTCCGCAGCATGGGGGCAGCATTTTGGGCATAAGTAGACCCCGTGAGGCTGTGGAGTTGAGCCCCACGAGTACGTAGACCTCAGAGCTTCTGACCCTCTAAAATTTTAGAATGGAACCTGATTTGGGAGACCTTTGCATTAAACCCTTTCCTCAACCAGAAAAAGTTCTTCAGGCCTTTTTGCTCAACGTCAAGGAGCTTATTCCCTCCCAGTATAACCCAGTCCACTTTGGAGAAGCTTAGAGAGTGAGAGAAGTGCTTTTCCCATTGCTCTTAAGTTTTCCCTCTTGTAACTGCCCCACATGGGTCTGCTCTGTCCCTCTGTGGCTGCACCCAACTGCCCTGCAGAGACCTAGGGGCAGTGCCTGGAACCCAGCAATGTTCAGTGAACGTCCCTTGGTGGATTACATGAGAGGGGCAGAAACCTCTTTTTCCTCCATAGAATGGCCGGAGACTGTTTATCTGTGTTCTCCTGCCATTGCACCAACTTCAGAGACAATGGAAGCCAGACCCAGTGAAAGGAAGGGTTCACCCAAGGTAAAGTGGAGCCCATCAGCAGCAAGGCAAAGGCCAGAATGCACTGGGGACATGTTCTGTTGGCACTGCAGCCCTGCTAATCTTGCACAGACTCCTATGCCTACCTCTTGCGGGCTGCCCTCCAGTTGTGAAGGAGCTGGCATAGGGCCATACACAAAGCCGCTGCCCTCTGTGCCCAGAGACTTCTTCCAGAGGGCAGAGCTCAGGGTTGTGGGCTTCAGATGGGGAGGTGGAGTGAGGGTGGGAGGGACCAAGGGATTCAATAATCCCACACCCTCACCCAGCTTCAGAGAAGCTGGTGCTGAGACGGTTGCCATGGTGACAACAGCTCCCTGGTCAGGAGATTTTTCTCTTTCCTCTCCTTCCTTTGCTCTTCTCCAAGCAGCAGCCATAGTAGCAGCAGCCAGGTTTTCTCCCTCTCCTTGTTAATGAGAGGCAGGGGATGATAAACAAAGGGTAGGCCGTGTTGACCCCCTCTACCTTTGAGCTGTCCATGCCATGTGGCTGCTGGTCTAGGAGGGACTCTTAACAGTGAAGAAGGGGCCTAGGCCTGGGTGAGAAGAAATGTCCCTTCATTGAGGACTAAAGCACCCCCTCTCTGAAACATCCTCATGGTTCAGGGATAGAAGGAAAGGGTTCTGTTTTCTCATAATCAGCTGTAGAACCAGAGTGTGTCACTGTCGGAAGGCCATTCAAGATCATCTCATCCAGGCCACCCTCAGTCCCGACCCCTTCCCCATTTCAAGAAGGATCACAGACGGAAGTGACTTGGCCAAAGTCAGATAGCACTGAGGAAAAAGCAAGATCTGAACCCAGCTCTTCTGCCCTCCAGGCTCAGGGCATCTTAGGGAAAGGAGCAACACAGTCCACATGGAGCTTTGGCACAGTCCCTGCAGAGCAGCAGGAAGATAGGAACTCAGAGGGAGTGACTGGGCACAAGATGGCCAGAAAGAGTACAGAATAGAAAGATACTTGAAAGGAAGAATGAGAGGACTTGGTGCTTTGGCTGCAAGGGATGAGGGGAATGGAGAAGGTTGGGACCTTGGCAGCAGTGACTATAGGTATGGGTGGTCTGCTGGGGGGTGGAGTCCCTGGTTCATCCTCCAACCAGGATGAAAGAGGCCATACATGGGGCCTCTGCCTAGCACTGAGATCTTAGTGAGGGGGTGCTGTTGAGAGAGTGTTGTGAGGAGGAGAAGTGAGGAAGGGGGGCTGAGTTTTTTGAGGGGTTGGGGAAAGATGAGCTGCTGGGTGATGTGGATGGAAGCTCTCTGTGGAGATGAGAGGTTGCCATGAGACTGGGTGGACTACCTATCTCCAAAGGAGGGAGGTTGACTGGTGCCTCCTCTAGTACCAGCAACACTGCACCCCCAGGTGTGTGTGTGTGTGTGTGTTGGGGGCCAGAGCAGTGGTTGTTTCTACCTGAACTGGGGATGGGAAACAACTCTGCCTCCTTTCCTGGGACCCATGGGGCCTGGACTTGGGTGGAGGTCCCGCCTCCAGATGCTGCCCCCTATGGCAGAACCTGGGGTCAAGGAAATGAATCAGAGAGGGCAGGAGATGAGGATGGGAATGGACAGTGGAAGGGGAGGGGTCAAGGGCCTCCGCCCAGACCCTCCCGCATTACCTGAGGCCGCTCGCCGGGTCGTTAGATGGCTCCGAGCTTCCGCTGGCCTCGGACACCGAGATTGGCTCTCGGGTTGGCAGTCAGGTTCTCCGAGGTCCGCGCCGGAGCCGCCTCCCAGCTCTTGTATCACTATGTGTCTCTCGGAGGCGACACTATTTGCATAAGCCCCACCTCACCCCCGGCAGATTTGGCGTTGATTGGCTCCGCTGGGGCGAAGTGGCAGGCGGGGTTTCAGGTGGGGACCCGGTGGGCAGTGAGGCCCTGCTGCAGGAGCGCGCCCCGCCCCCCGCGCTGACCTTCCCGGAGTATCCAGGAAGGAAGAGAGCAGGACCCCCATCTGTACCCCGCCCTGAGGCTCAGACCCCAGGCCACAACCTGGGTTGAAAAGTGTCGACGATTGAAGTGGATTCGCAAAAACAACCGCACGGTTGCTATAGAAACGGGAGAGCCACAGCCGAGTCTCTAACTCTTCCCTTCCTGGGCCCCAGAGGGGGTGGGGATGGAAAAGGGGATGAGTCACAATATGTGACCCCCTCTGCATCCCACCCGAATTTGGAGGAAGGCCCCGAGGAGCTGTGTAGGGGAGGGAAGAGACCGGGTGGTCTGCAGCTCACGCCTTCGCATCACCCCTCCGACACACCCACGCACCTCACGCCGCGGAACGGAAGGAGAGTGGGTGGGCGCGGAGAGCGCAGTGCGAATGGCGAAGTACCCAGCCTCCCTCTGGCCCCACACTAGTCGTGGGCTCCCTAAAGCCCCTGATTACAAGCCCTGCCCAGACAGCCTTCCTATTTCTCACGGAACCTTCCCCACAAGACCTCTCGGAATCTCCCCCAGAAGGACCCCTCTGCCTATCCCAAAGATTCCCCCCATTCCCCACCCTTCCGTCTTCCCGTCCCGTAGTCAGAGCCGGTCCCCAGCCGCCGCCAGTCTCCGGCCTCGGATGTTGACACAAACCCGAGGCGGTTTACACTGAGAGGGTCTGGAAGGTTTCAGGGCCCCGGGAACACCTCCCCGCGCTTGCGGGTCTCCCCTAAGCCTGGCCGGGACCGCCCTCGCTGCACTGGCAGCTGAGAACTCCCGATCCAAGGCTGGGGGAAAGAACCCTTTTATTCTAAATTGGGGGCAAAAGGGGAGCAGATAGCCTCCGGCTGGGCCACGTGCAGAGAAAAGATTTCTAAGTATCTGTCAAAAATGGGGTGGGGCGTGTGGGGATTGGTCCAATGGAAGAGAGGATGCTGAAGAGCCTCAAGGAAAGAGGTGGGGCTTCTGCCGAAACCCCCAAAGTTGAGGTGGATGGGCTATAGGGGGCTTGAGGAGCTGCAGACCAAGGGTGGAAGCGAAGTTTCTTTGGCTGCTCCCAGAAACTCCATCTAGGCTCCCTGGGAAGCAACCAGTGGATATCTCTGGCTCTGCCTTTGTCTCTCTTTGTCCCTCTGTCTATCCCTCTTTCTCTCTCTCTCCTCATTCCTCCTTGAACACGTTTTGCTGTCCCATTCTCCCGGCTGCAGCTATGTCTTCTCTCTGAGGTCCTAGCAGCAAGAGAGCACTAGCTGGGGCTCTGATTAGCAGGCACATCCTTGGACCCTTTGATCTGGTGGCTCACGAGAGACAGGTGTTTGAAAGCTCTGACTCTCACTTCCTGAGCACCCTCTCTGCTCTGGGCCCTGGAGACCCATAGGTGGGCCAGCACTCACTCCCGCCCACAGAAAACAAAGGCCTGAGGAAATGGGGAGAAGCACCAGGGGATGCTGAAAGTGGTATCTGAAACCCCATGGGTCCCCTTTTTGCCAGTGACACCACACTTAATCATGGGCAAGATCCTTCTCTCTCTGGGCCTCCCAGTCTGTAAAATGTGGAAGCTGGTACAGGAGTCCCAAAGAAGTAGGGGAAGAATTTCAACTAGCAGGGTGAAGAAAGACAGTCAGCTGGAACAGAATTATGTGGGCATGAATCTGATCGCTCCACTACACTTGTGAGCTCCTTAACAATAGCTAACATAATTGAGAATGTCCTTTATGTCAGGCATTATCCTAACACTTTATATGTATCACTTCATTTGTTCCTCTTAAGAACTATGAAGCAGGTACTATTATTACTCCCATTTGACAGGTGAGGAAATTGAAGCTCAGACCAGTTAAGTGACTAGCCCAGGTTCACAGAGCTGGTAAAGCTCAGAGCTGGGATTTGAACCCAAGCAGTCTGGCTCCGGAGCCTATACATACTCCTAGCCAATACATATTCTGCCTCTCTATAAGATCCTTTAAGTCCTTATGGGGAGGGACCTTGGATTGGAATATTCTTTCTTTTTTTAAAATTTTTTATTTTTTTATCCTCACCTGAGGACATTTTTCCATTTTTTTGTTCAGATAGAGTGGGAGGAAAAGGAAGGGAGGGAGAGGAAGGGGGGGAGAGAAACGGGAGGGAGAGGAAGGAGGGGAGAGAAACATCAATGTGAAAGGGACACATCGAGTGGCTGCCTCCCGCATGACCCAACCAGGGCCGGGGACAAACTGCAACCAAGGTATGCGCCCTTGGGAACCGAACCCGGGTCTCTCCCGACCGCAGGCTGACGCTCTAACCACTGAGCAAAACCTGCCAGGGCAGGAATAGTCTTTCTGATTCCCCAAGGCATTAGAAAGGCAAAGCCCAGCCTCCCAGGAGCAACTTCTCTGTCTTGGGCCAACAAGACATGGGATTCCCAACAGCTGCAGTAGAGCTGACAGTAGAGAACACAAGGAGAAGTGCTCCTGAACTGTAAGAGTGCTAGTGTGTGGCTTCTCCTGACATCCCCACCCAGGCCCTGGAATCTAGCATGGGATCCAGGAATCCCAGGTAAGCAGGGAAGGAAGAATGCAAAGGGAAGTTGTTGAGGCAGGATATAATGGTCCTGCTCTGGCTCTTTAAACTAGGCAGGACCACCCATGCAGCCTCACCCATGAATCATCTCAGGGCCTGTGGCTGTTTCTGAACTGCCAGTTATAACTCATCTTCACCTGCTCATAATACTTGAGACCCTGATCTTGATCCTGCCTCTGCTTTTTAGGTTTGATGTTTACAACAATAACAGTTGACATTGACTGAGTTGCTTCACTATGTACCAGACTCTCTGCCAAGTCTTTCATCTGCATCAACTCAGTGCCAGAGATGACCTCTGCCAGAGGTGATATTAAAAATATCTATCCATCCTGGCTGGTTTGGCGCAGCAGTTAGAGTGTCACCCCTTGGACCAATGAGTCATGGGTTCAATTCCAGTCAAGGGCACATAGCTTGGTTGCGGTTCATCCTGGGCCCTTGTTGGGGTCGTGTGGGAGGCAACCAATCAATGTGTCCCTCTCACGTCGATGTTTCTGTCTCTCTCCCTCTCTCTCCCCCCACTCTATCTGAAGATAAATAGGAAAAAATATCTTCAGGTGAGGATTACAAACACACACACACACACACACACACACACACACAAAACAACCCTCTTCAGGCATGAGCATTACCGGATGCCCAGCCTCAGGGCTAGATCAAGGACTTAGTATGTCTCTGTTCTGCCAAGAGTTAACACTTTGGTTACCGGATCAAGGGGAGCAGGCAGGAGAAAAGCTAGGGAAGTAGGGGCCCATGGGCTACTACTAACTATTTACTAGTCAATTTGGAAGTATTTTGATGTTTTAACACAGTTCAGCTGTACAAGTGCACAGGACCTGAATTTCAGCCCTGGTATCACTATTTTATTTCATAGCAGCGGATGGAGTCTCAGAGAGGTTTGACAACTTGCCCATTGTAACACAACCAGTTAGCAACAGAGTTAGCATGCCAACCTGGGTCTGACTCCAGAGCCCACACTCTTAACCACTGGGAAGGGGCAGTGTCCAGAACAGAGCTGAGGTTTTCACTTTTCTGCAGCTAAAGGCTGAGCCAGAGGAATGAGGTTTAAGTTCTGGAGCTTTGCTGTGGCCTTGTTGTTGTTATCAGGCGTGGAGGTTTGGCAACACCTGTTCCACGTTGTTGAAGGAACGGGCCCTGCAGAGTGAGAGCAGAGCAGGCTGCATGGAATAAGGAACAGCATGGTTGTGTGGGTGGACCTAAAAAGGGGCCAGAAGGGAATTGAGCCCAGCAGGGCTTTCGGTGAGGGCAGAGGTCTGCAGTCAGTGGCCACTTCAATTTGCTTCGCCAAAGTGCTAGCATTCCTCCTCTTGTTGGTCGCAAACAGTGCCTTTATGATGGATAATGCCTTCCTGACTCCCTCCCTGGGTTTCCTCAGCCTTAGCTCCTGCAGCCTGGTGACAGCTGGAATTTCTCTGGGTCTTAGATAGTTCACAGTCTTCCTTGTGTCTGGGAGAAAGTGAGATCACCAGCTTTGGGCTCCTTCCCTCTTTCCTATTGGCTAAGCAGGTCCCCCCCCCCCAATAGAAATCTGTCTATTATCTTTTGTTTGTTTGTTTGTTTGTTTGGTTGGTTGGTTGGTTAATACATGGTGGCTAAAAAATGATACGGAGAAAGTGCACCATAATTCCTCCCTTGAGCATTACCTGCAGGGGACCTTGTGTTTTTGCCTGCCTTCATTCTCCTATAGCTGAAGCCCTATAGAATAGTGGGTTAAGTGCACAGACTCAAGCCAGGCTGCCTGAGTTTGTATCTCAGCTCATCTCTTACCAACTGTGTGATCACAGGCAAGTTACTTTACCTCTGTGTGTCTCAATTTCATCATCTGCAAAATAGGGGTAATAATAACAGTCCCTTTTTCATAGGGCTACTCTGAGGATTAAAATGAGTTAACATATGCAAAGTGCTTAGAACAGATTTTGTTTGGGGCAGTTACCCAGCCTGGATTGTGTACAGTCTTGTGGGACTATCAATTTGGGTGTCCTGCCTTCCCATAGACAAGGGTTGGTCATGAGACTTAAGTAAGGCTAAATGGACTTCTTCCTCTTTCATTCTCTCTTTCTTTCCAAAGCTAATCTGAATCCTGAGTAAAGTGGCCTGGGGATAGTAGATGGTTAGTGCTAGCTTATGAGAGGACAGTGCTCTGATGATGCCACTGTCCATCATTCCCACTATCTGAATGCCCAGGGACCACTCAGGTACATGTCCTTTCCAAGACCTGCTTCTTCTGTGTTTCCTTTGGTTGTG